GACTTGATCATTCAACACTTTGAAAAAATGTCATTTTTTTAGTTGTAATTTGAATGATGAACAGCAGATTGGTTGGAAATTTATTTAAAAAAAGCTCATTATTAGAGACAACTGCAATTCATCTAGGTGGAAATTCAATGAAGGGACTTGGATTATTCAACATTTGCAACGGAATTTTGCAATCTGCCAACACTTTGAAGGATACAAATTTTATTTAGTGTAATTTAAACAAAGAAAATTGTAAAATTATAGGCCAACTGCTGAAACATTGCTCAAAAAATTTACTTTATTGTATTGTAACTGTAGAAATTTCTGGCTTGTCACAACTGTAATTGTCCTTGCCAATCATTTACCAATTTGCCAAAGTACTCAAACAAATAGAACCTTTCAAGTTCCTACACAAATAGTCTAACAAATGTAATTTCTGTAGAAATTAATCAAACAAAATACCAGTATTTTGTCCAAAGAATATGTATTGAGTATGTACACTTATGAACTATAGTTTACAGATATTTTATAAATAATACTTACCATATGGTAGAAGTGTTGAAGTAGATGTTGCCTCTGGGGTAGATGGTACCCAACTACCAGAATCAACCCTTTTTTAGGCAAAGGATAAGATATTACATAATCAAACATGTTGACAACAACAACAAGTGTTTATTTACATAAATATGATGTAAGAATTGACCCTTGAGGGGTAACCTACACATAGTTATTGTTGTTTACAACACTATTGCATAATATGATAACCCTTGACCCTGTTTGTTGTGAACAATCCTTATCTGGGGTAAGACCCTTGTTATTGACAGCTTAGGCATAAACAACTGATAAGGAATTGTATAAAAGCAGGGCGTAGGTAGTAGGAGGCTTTCAGTCCTGAATCAACTCCCTTAGCAAACAGGTCTAATATTTCTTTAGAATACAGTTATATTAGTCTTACATTTTGGTTTTATCTTCATCCTCCCTCAATTCTACATCTGTCTTCTAAGTGGCTTACTCCTAATTCAGTTCTATTTGGGCCAGTACCTACCTACAACCACAGCAGGAAAGTACAGAGTAAAATGAGCTTCTGGTTCTAAACAAGCTAGTTTTAGCAACCATCTGATGGCTAGAGAACTGACTATCAACTGTTGATTTCATAGGGTTTATATGCTCTTTTAAGGGTTGATAGTTCACAAATTTCAATATTCACAAAAAAAGTAACATTTGAAGACAAAGAAAAGTTGTGAATATGGTCATGTGTTTATTGTTTTTCTCTTCTAACTAATAGTTGAATTTTGAAGGTTGGAGAGTTGCATAAGATGTAACAATTTGAATAGGACAAATCCAACAATCAAGAAAACATGTGGCTTGTATATTTGACCATTTTTATATTCTACCTTAATAATGATATTCAATTGATTGAGTTTGTAAATTTAGCATCAGTATGTGAGGAGGAAGTATATCTGATTAATGCATGTTAAGTAGAAGAGTATTGTGTTTACAATACTGTTGGATACTGAATATAATCTAAACTTGAATTTTATGCATAATTGATATTTAGTTGAACTAATTGTAGTTCAAAATTATTAATGCATAGATTAATAAATTGTAATAATAATGCTAGGTTGCAAATAGCCATATCCTGTATATAATTTAATAGATTTTATTGCCACGCAAAGTATATGAACTGCCCTATGCGAAACTAGGTCAATCCTGCTTATCTCTATGAGTGCTATCTGCATAGTACAATACTGGTTCAATACTACTTCTCTATTGTAGGGTATAGCTGACAAATGTCTGTGTACAAAAAATTAAACAATAAATATTGGAGGAAGTAAAAAATATGGGAAGTAGACTAGTGAAGAAATTTATTTTGGAGGTCTTGGAATTGGGTTTAGGGGAAAAAAGAATGAAAAAACAAATATTTTGCATAGCAGAATTTTTGAATGACAGTTGTATTACAGTTTCATTAATATTTTTTAATAAATTGAATTATTGTAATTTACTCTCCCACTCTCTTTTTTTCGAATTCAGGAGAAATAATGGTGAGCCAAACTGGTGACGAGGTGAAGATATGGTTTTGACCAGTCGGCATATATTACTGTAAATGGAAAAACCTATACACCAGCTCCTAGTTCTACATCCATTGGAACACGCTGCAAAATTTTTTCCAGAATGTCTAACTTGATCAAAATTCATTATTCTAATTGTATAGTCCACTCTGGTAAAGTAACGTATTGGCATAACTAGTGGAATAAATGAATAAAGTAGAATGGAAAATAAAAGAAGAATAATAGGGAAAATGTAATACAAACGCTTGAAATTTTTCTGAAAGAATGAATTATTCGGTCTAGGAGTAAATGTGAATCTACTCCTAATTCTATACTTAATCCAGCACATCTTTCTCACATAATTGATTGAAAAAGCAAGACATTGACTGTTTTCATTGCAAAACTTTGAACATTTCTCAACTGTAGCATCATTTATAATTCTCGAATCATATCCAGCTGAACAAGATTGATCAATAACGTCATAATAAGGTTGCATTTCTGTTGTTTGTTGGTTTCAACAGTGAATATTAAAAATTTCTAATTTATATTTATAGACTTACTGTCACTCTTTCTCAGATATGTTTTAGCATTATTTTTGGTCTTTAAATTATTCTCATTACCTCCATAAAAAAAATAGCAATATGATTCATCATAGCCAACTACTTTAACATTTTTAAAGGCAGCATCTTGAAGACATCTATCTAAAGTGATTCTTATTTTTTCAAATTTGGTTGATGATGAAATTTGATCAGAGATGACACTAAATCCAAAAAGATCTTGTCCTTCAACTAAAAATAGAAAGCAACCAATTAATTTTTAGCTATACAGACAGACAGACCGACACAGAATATGAATAAACTCAATCTCCCCCTTTCTTTACCTGATATAAAACAGTATGCAAAGCTTATTAAACAAAATATTGGTACAGTCAACTTCATGATCAACTTTTAAACAGCAAAACAAACTCTTTTCACAGAGTATAACTTTCTTATATTAACAACTTGCTTTTATACAGAAAATTTCATTTTTGCTGATTTTTCATTTTTAAACAAATTTCAATTGATTATTAACCTTTTCTTGGTTTACTGTAAAAGTCAATTTTTCAACAATAGCAATAAACTACAAAACTAAAATACTTTTTTAAGACTTTCACCTCTTAATAATGAGCACCTGCTGTTGTTTGAACTAACATTTGAATTATAATTGACATTTTATGCTACTTTAGTTAATTTTTCAATAATTTAATCACATTTTGATGTAATTAAAATATGTTGTTACTTTAAATTACAGAACCATATGAACAACCTGAAAATTGAGTAAACAAGTTTTACATTGAAATTGAAGTATTTAACTGCTTTCAACTTTTGTTCATTCTTTTTCATGAATGGAACAGAATTGATTTTGACCTTGGTTTTTGTTTGGAGGTAGAAATTTATCATTACTAAATTTTGTTTGCTATAGTTTATAAATAAAATTACAAGACAATAAAAGATCTCTCTATCAATGATAATAAATAATCTACTTAACAGGTTATAATTATTTACCGTTTTTATAATAATCTCCATCAGAAAATGAATGGCTGTCTCTTCACTTTATAGATATATATATATATATATATATATCACTAACCAAACTATTCTATGAAAAATCCATAAAAATAATAAAGAAAAAAAAGGGTACGAACATACCTGGGTACATTTGCCACTCTGTTATGTTGGCATCCAGGTATGTTCGCACCCAACCCCATTCAAAACATTTCAAGTAATTGTTAAACAAGCAAAACATTTTTAGTATATTAACTAAATAATTATTATTTTTTATAAATAATAGTCGGGGAATGATTATCTAGTTGTTTCAATTTCTACCAGTTTATTGGCTTATTAGAAATAGCAAAGGTTTTCTTAATAAAAAAATTGGTTAGATAAAATATATTCTGATTAATATGTAGACTTTTTTAAGAGATAAAAGAAATATTATCATTATTTATTCTGCAATACGTGAATGTAGTATGAATAGAATTGTTATTGCCATCATTTTTCAAATCCCTTTCTACAAACGTTGTGAACAATTACACAACAAATCAAGGGTCGTTGGCAAAATTAATGTAAAATGGAATGGAATTCACCTGATATTTGACAGCCAATCAGTGGATAGTGATAAAAGCTTCACTGGTTCATTATATATATTACATAATAACCATTATAATCCTGTGAAATTTTAACCATTAAAACTAAGTAAAAGTAATGAGCTATGTCAGCAATTTGGATTTGATTTCCTTCACTGAATTGCCTACCCAAAACAACTAAAGACAAATGCTTTTCCATACTTTGAAGTTGAAATGAAGAATAATAATTTTAAATTGTTAGATTTCTTACCTAATTTGCATATAAAAAGTATATTTTCTCTTTTCTTTTTTTCATTAAACAATTTCTTAATTCAACAAATATTGGATTCTATTTGAAATGTTTTAATAGATATCAGCCATGTTTGTTATTTATTTATTTATTTATCAATATAAGAGATTTTTTAAAATTGAAATTCAATAGATATATTTGCCTTGGAGCAAAAACCACATTTATATCTACTTTTTCTAAGACACCATGACATTATCTATAGAGTTTATTATTTTAATTTAAAGTTTAAAAACATATGCTCACAGGCTCAATTCCTGCTATTTTTACAAGAAAACAATCTACCAGTTTCCACTGAAAAGATATCAATAATTCTTTCAGATTTGTTTTATATAATAAATAGCTGCATATCTTAGCTGTGTATTGATTAGAAGCTTGGAAGCAAAAGAAATTGGTTTTCTTATTTTCTTTCCATTTTAGTGGGCGTTTTCAACAGTGGGCATTTTTAACAATGGGTGTTTTCAACAATATCCGGAAAACACTTGGATAATAGGCCTATCATTTATTTCATTTATGAAAATGTTTATGTAGTCGAAATACTTTCAATAAAATGTGGACTGCTTTCATAAAATTTCACTGATAACCTTAAAAAGTTTTAGATAAGTTATCTGTGTACTGTATTGGATTTTAACTGATAGAGTGTGATTCCTCATGTATAATTTAACAAAGCTGATGTACAGTTAAATTACAAGAACCAAAATCAATTAGTTTTAAGGTATTTGAAGAATAGAGAAATCTATCAAAAATCTTTAATAATCCATTTCCGATTTTTGTTTTTCTCATTTCTTCCATTTTAGATCAATTGTTCAGCAGATATTCATTTTATACAGTTTCGCACCTCACCTACACTTAGCATCCTCTTATTGTTGCATTATTTTTACTACAGTTTAACAAAAAAAAATAGAGTTAAGACTTATAACCACAACCTTGTGGTTGTTCAAAGGTCATAACCACTATTCTTAATATATAATTGCTCTTGAATTATAAGCTGAATTGGCTTAAATTTAAGTTAAATGAGATTTTACATTAATAAAAAACATAAGGGCTAAAATTTTACAATTTTTGTATTCTACATCAATAATAATCATCACTGTAATCACTTGGATAATTTTGAAAAAATCATATTATTGCGATCAACGCCTTGCGATACGTTTGGGGTTTTTTTCTTTATCTTGTTTTGCAAGATGTGATATCAGTACTCCTGCACCGATTACTACAGCCGAACTGAGAGCAACAAATGAAGTAGCGATCATACTTGTGTGAATGGTTGCTGCTTCTTTATGAATTTGCTTTCCAGCTGGATCATCATTATTTAACTTTTGTTTAATTTCATTTGAGCAATTAGTACTAAGAAGTCTGTAAGTCTTATTTATTGGTTTTAAAAGCTCATCAATTTTAGATAAGGCTTTTTCTCTCCATTTATATTCATTTCTAGTATATTTATGTTGTACTCCATCAGTTTTCATTTTTCTAGGTTCATCAGAAACCACATTTATTACAAAATGTGCTCTTGACCCAAACAGTCCCAATACATAATGAACTGGCTCATAATCCAGGGTATACTTCCATTTATTATCAATAAAAATAGCAAATCCAACATGTCTGACACCATTAGTCTTTCGATAAACTCTAATTTCAATACAGAATAAACTTTCTTCAATATCTCTTTTTAAATTGTCGTAATTTTGCATGTTGGATGGCAAATGAATAATATAAGATAGAATGACTCTTATAAAACACTATAGGCTAAAATAAATGATAATTAGTTTATTTTTAAATTTTTAAATTTTTAAAATTTTTAAAATTTTTTTAATTCCAATATTCACAAAAACGAAAGTAAAAGTTGGAGAGTTGCTTGTTGCGTAGAGTAGCATTAAATCTACAACAATACTATTCAATATTGATAGGCAGATTTTATTTTCACATCTAAAAAACTTTTTCAATTATAAAAATCTGAGTAATTATTTTATTTGCCTGCATTGTCAAAGAAGCAAGAGATGTTTAATAATTTTTCATTCCATATAGGCTGAATTTGATAAACTCAATTCTAAAGACAGCAAAGGTCAAATGTTTTTGTAAGAATGCTCAACAACAGATATATTTCTGCAAAACATACCAGAATCAACCCTTTTTACAAGCAAGGGATAAGATATTACATAACTAAACATGTTGACAACAACAAGTGTTTATTTACATAAATATGATGTAAGAATTGACCCTTGAGGGGTAACCTACTCAAAGTTGTTGTCATTTACATGATAATGTAATATGATAACTCTTTATCCTGTTTGTTGTGAATAATCCATATCTAGAGTTAGACAACTATTATGAGGTTATCATGACTTTTTCTTGATTGGATATTGATTAAGCTTGATTAATGTTTTGTTATCACAACAAAGGCTGAAATTGTAATTGAAGGAATTTTTTGAAATGTATATTATCAGGACTTGTTAAAAATAACTTTGAAATTCATTTTAAAAGGCATTGCCAAAAGTCTTATCAATAGCACATATATCCAGTGAATAATACTTTTAAACCTTTTTAATACTTAGTATGACCACCCTTATTGAAAAGACACAACTGTAGCCTCTATCTAAACCTCTACATTTGTGCAGATATGTTTACCAACCCAAGGTCAGGACTCTTGGCTGGCCACTGTTCCAAGTACCTTATGTTCTTTTCTTTTAGGTACCTTAAGGTACTACCAGATCTATGGCAGGGAGCACCATCCTGCATGAATACATGGTCCTGTGTTTTGGATATAGATCTATCCTTGTCTCATCCGAAAACACATTTGACTTGATTTCATCTGTTCTCCAAGAGACAGAGGAGTCTTTTGCAAAACTTTCTCCTATTTGCTAAATATCTTTTTTTTAATATGGGTTTCTTTGCAGCAACATAGCCTCTCAAGTTGTGGTTCCTTAAAACATTCTCGCTGGTTGATAGGGATATGACTGATATTAGAGGACGATTAGGATATCACCTACAGTTTGCTGTAAATATTGATAATACTATTTCAAATATCTTACTTTTTCTGTAAACTTTCATTCAGTTTTGTCAAGTATTAATGAGGAGGTGAGGGTGAGCCATTGTTAGAAAAAGAAGATTTCTTGGAAAAAATCACTATTGGTGATGGATCTTTGGTTTAAAATCAAAGAGTACTTCTTTGATCTATAAACACACATATGGGCTATAATATTAAAAAAAGATTATTAAAATTAGTTAACTATTACAACTAAATATACAAAATGTATATAAGATTGCAATTGTGCTTCATATAATTGATGAATAAAATAATTTTATTTGTCCTGTTAAATAGGCATTGTAATTAACTCTACAAAGAGTGTATGAATCATCTTTTCTTAGCTCATGAAAAAAGAAGATATTTACTTTGAAATACAACCAAGCTCTATTGGACTAGAGACAATAAGCCCACTTTAAAAGTATTAATAATATATTATAAACAGGGTATGATGTTAATAACTGCTGTCCATACTACAGTAAATGAGTTCCATTCTTTTAAATACAATTAATGTCAATTAAGAGACAATTGTCCTGTATTTTCATAGGGAAAAATGATACATAATTAATGTAAGAACAAATCAATCTTGAACTTCTGGTTTTAGACTAAAAATAAATGTCTTGCATAGAGGTCGCCACTATAACAATTATACATTAAAGTATTTATACAATATAAGGCTTTAGATTTTGATCACTGCAAAATATGAAAATATTTATAACCCAAATTAGAGGTTGTTATTCAATATATATTGCTTTGCATTGTGAACTGTATGCTTGAAAATCTATCTACTAGCTATAAATTCTTAAAGTTATAATAAAACAATATTAGGAATAGCATTAAGGGATTTTTAATTTATTAAACAAACTCTTTTACATTGAAAAAAATATATAAAGATAGATAAAGAATTTTAAAATCATTGAAAATGTATCACAAAAACTGCTAATCAGGGGCATTAGAATGGATTCATAGCTCTTTGAAAAGCTTAACATATCTTGAATATACTAATTTTTAAGATTGCAGATAGTTAACAGTTCATGCTATTCTTTGTTGTCTTGAATTTTCCCCTAGAAAATAAAGTTTATAAAATCATAATACAAATGGCAAAAGAAATAATTTCCTGATGGATTTTTATACCAGTTTTCAATTTGTAAAAACATCCCAAAAGAATTTCATTAAATGAGATGGTTTTAAAGTCTTTCACTTGCAGGGTGATTGCAAAATTTAGAAAATTTTGATAAAAAATGTTACAAAAATATCAAATGGAATGTATCAACACAATTTGAAATTTTTTGGAAAAATTACTTTGTGCCTTTGAATATTTAAATGGGGGTTGAGAAAAAACGTCCCTGGGAAAAAACGTCCTAATTGTTGGGAAAAAACATCCTAAAGGCTGGGAAAAAACGTCCTATGCCTGGCAAAAGATATACTTGGCATAACTATTGATATTTATAGTCAGAAATGTTTTTCTCTTTGCTGTTTACTTCATTTATAGAATAAAATATTAATATTTTTGAAGAAAGGGATATGTATTGTGATGTTTTTACCAGTTTTCTCTGAATTATGTAATGCTATTAAAAGAGAAATGAGTTATTACCTTGTCTTGTCTGTGAGTGAAAGATAAATTTTGCATTTCTTTGCATATTTTCAGGCTAATTTGTTTTTTAAGCATTGAAACACTGGTACTGATTTAGTTTATTGAATATTACAAGATTATACATTTTTTAAGAACCCTTCTTTCCAGTGAGTTATAATATGAAAGGATGTAATGAAAATTTAAAAAAATAACAGAGATATTTGAATTAAAAAATAATACAAACTTTCCAGCCATTTGTTTGCTATGTCAGCATCACTTTTCAGAGAACGTGTCCATTTAAAAGCATAAATATTACCATGAAAATCTTTTTCACTACAAGCTCCAACACAGAATCCAAGTGCAAGATCTTTAGGTGCACCTATAAAGTTTAAAACATTAACATGTCCATATTTAACTCCTTTCATATAGTAGTGCATTCTTTTTGAATTTGGATTATAAACCAATGCAAAGTATGTTAAATAATCACTAGACAATGGCTTCATAACAATTCCCAATTTTTCTCCCTCTCTAGTTAGTAGTGAACCTTCTCCATTTATTGACATTTTTAATCCCAAATGATAACCTTTTTTAAATGAATAAAATATCTCATCTTGTGGATAATTTGCTGGTAAAAGATATTTTGTTACAATTTCAACTGTAAAATCACTGTTTATAAAATCACCATCATGAACAATCTAAATGTAGAAAAACAAATAATCATCGAAACATCAAAAAACAAAAATTCTAACTTTTAAATAGCTTTCAAATCCAAAATAGATTGAACCATCCTTATTGGTTTTAGAGTTTGAACCAACAATTGTCCCAACTCTGATCCTCCAATATCATGTAATACTGTAGTTGGTGTTAAAGGACCAAAGTTTGTTTCATTGTACCAGTCATACAACAGGATAGTTTCAGAATCCTTGTGCAGGAATGGTAACCTTGTAAAGGCTATTTAAAAAAATTAATTATTTGCCATAAATGGAAAAAATTGCTTACCAATTTGAGAATATTGAAGAAAAAGGAGAAAATGGATAAACATTATGCAAATATTCTGATTGGATAGAACAAAAAAATTCTGTTTCTTTTTATACAAGAACTTAAGATTGATTTTTTTCATTTTTTACATCAATTATACATAATGTTTCCTTATAGAAGAATAAGGCAATTGTCACTTAATTGACTCTAACTGTTTATATAAGAATATAACTCACTGGCTGTAGTCCTGAAAGCTACTCTTAGCATAATATCCTCTTCATAATTAATTAATAATATTTTAAAATATGTCATAATATGAGTAATACCACTTTATAATGAATTTTTTCCTTAGTAATTCATCACTGAAAGATGATTCATGTGCTATTTTGTTAAGATAAAGGTTAAGTTTTCTTACAAAAAATTTCCTTTATGAAGACTATTTATGGATGAAATTAAATGGTTCTATTGGTGTGGGGTACTTTTGTAAATTGGAAAATGATTTGAATCGATGAGCACAACTGTGACCAGCCAGAAATTGTCAAGAACAATATTGTATCAGTGTTTACAGGTGTTTTGCAATTACACATATGGGCTTTCAATAATTAGAATTAATGACAAGTAGTTTTTACTGGGCTATTCAAAATAATTAGTTCAAAAACTTCAAATGTTTATCTAAAAAATGGTTAAAGTTTCTAAATGTAGCTTAACAAAAACAAAAAATATTTGAAGCATTTTTTAATAATGTTTATGGTAAAAGATAAACCAAAAGGTGATAGACCTAGTAATTACAACACCATAGATGGCGAAGCAAATTATTAGGGTATCCAAAGGGTTAGGGTATAAAATAAGTATATTTGTAATATTCTTTTTAGTAGGTAAATTAGTAATTGTCTAATTAGAATAGAGTTTTGAGTGGATTCAACAGAAAGTGTCCACAAATCACTGCTTTTACCCTAACCCTAAACCAGCCCAATTGGGGTGAAACTACCTGTGTTAAACTGTACCCTGGTAATCTGTATCCACTAGTGGGTTAAACCATATTTTTTTCTCTGGGATACATTTACTTTGTTTTTCATGTTTTCAGAGATAAAAATCAAGTCTCCCTCTCTTTTCAGTTCATTAACTAGCATGTAGAATGAGCTTTTTGAGCTCACTTGACTATTCAATCATCTAAAAGTGACATTTTCAGGCTCTAACATGTTAATCATCTTCTTAATAGACTATGGGAAATATGTTTAACAGTTAACAAACTGAAAATGTAATTAATTATTAAAGCTTAGAATGCCAATTTATAAGCTCTCTTGTATTTGGATGATATGAAAATGAAGGCCAGTGGGACATGTTTCATGTTCCCCTTGTTTTCACTTAAGATCAATCTTAAGTTTTGGATGGTCAAAAATTATTTGTAAAATGGTTCTTTTACTATTTTAAATGTTGGACCACAAACCAATAACCCCAATTTACCCAACAATTCAACTGATAGTCTGTTCCAAATATAAGAATTTTATTCATTCTTTTCAAAGATGTCTTTCTTCAGAAAGTTGTCTAGTATGAAATCCATATTTATTTCAAAGTCATAATCTTTTGGTTCTATTGGTCTCTTTTTTCAGTTCTCTTTTTATTTCCACACCAACTTTTTAAATCTTATTTATGCATTTGCAAGTTACAACAGTACTGGTTATACTCGAATCTTTAAACAAAGTGTTTAATTTAAATGGTTTACTTGAAATAAACTACTTAAGCTTGTAACAACATAAAAGATCAATAGCAGAGTAGACAGTTTGTAATAGCTGGTTGCCAAATTACCAAACTAATTTACTGCTCTTGCTGGCAAAATCTATGCATTTGCAAGTTATAACAATACTGGTTCTACTCGAACCTTTAAACAAATGTTTAAATTAAAACGGTTTTTTCACAATAATAATACTTAAGCAAGTAACAATATGAGAGTTCGATAGCAGAGTAGATAGTTCGTAAAAGCAGGTTGCCAAATTACCAAACTGTCTTCCAATGTTGAGGAGTAGATGGATGGTTCCAGTGGAGTTTGTTTCCAGATGATTTTCCCAGGTCCTTGGGTCCAGATGGAAGCTGCATGCCAAATGAGAATAGTGAGGATTTATATACTTTGAGGTTTGTCTCTGACATCCAATCATCACTTTACAGTTGCCGAAATGTGTAGTTCATATTTATCTTTAGTAAGAGGATGTTACAAGGTTGAACATTTAGGAAGGTTAATTGAATTATAACTTGGCCAAACCTTTATTGATAATTAAAGATGAGCCTTCAAGCTGACTAATCAGACTTATGTTTGGCCAATGTTATAGCATTTTCTTGCGTAGGTTTTAAGATGTACATGTATATGTTGCATAAAATAATAGAGTTCAAGCATGTAAAATATAACCAAAGTTGTACACTAATGTCTAATGTTGAAAGGGTAGAAGGTTTGTCCCAGTGGTTGTCTCCATTTGATCTTTCCAGTTCAAGGTAGTACAGTTAGAGTAAAACAGTTAGGGTTTATATACTTGCAGGTTTGTCTCCAATATCATATCATCACTTCACTGTAGGTGGTCTAGGAACAATATGTTACAAAGTTGAACAGATGAGAAAGCTAATTAATCATACTTTGGCCAAATGCTCAACAAGCTCATCAATCACAACTTGGTCAAACCTTGAGTTGCACTTAAACATGAACCTAAAATATGACCAGGCAAGGTCTGAGTTTGGCCAAATGATGATTAATTGCATTTCTGGCATAGGTTTTTGAATAAGTGGTATATTGTAGCATACATAGTATAAACATCAAATATATAAAAAGTTGTACTCTACTAAGCCAAGTAAATTGTAATAATTTTAAAAAGACTTCTAATGCATTTCAATTAAATTCTTCATTACTTTTGTATGATTAAATTGAATAATAAGATTTTCAAATTCATTTGCAGAATCCCATATATTTCCTAAATCATGTTTGACTAGATTTTCAAGAATATTGAATATTATTTGACTATTTTCAGCGGCGTAGTGTTGAAAATTCATTTTAGAATTAAATTCATAAGCGTTATTGGCTTTTACAAGAGAATTTGCCACTTTTGTTATAAAATATGAATCTGAGAAGCTATAGTCAAAAGAGAACATATAATGATTAAATGGATTCAATACTGATGTCCATTTCTCTCCAAATGATTTTATTATATTTTCTAATTGACTTTCAACAAATGATACAATTTCCATTTTATTCTCTCCATTAGCTTTCATTATTTCAAGTTGTTTATATCCTTCCAAAATGGCTGACCATATTTTTATAGATTTAGCAAATTTTTCATCCTTCTTTCCATTACCAATTTTAACTATAACCTTAATAATATCATGTTGAAAAAATTCCAGTCTCGTTCCAAGAAATCCATACAAATTTATTTTAAAATCCTCATTTGAAGATTCTAAAATGATACAGAAAAACTCTGAAATCCATCTTTTGGCAATGTCATTGGCAGGAAATTCAAAATGTAAATGTTTTTGAAGTAGATGAAATACAGTATTTCTCAGTAGATTTTTGTTCTTTTCCCAAAATTTTAATACATTTTCAATGATCTTATGGTTGCTTGAATCACATTTTTTTGGTTGAGTGGTAATTAGGTCAGAGACATCAATCTTTTCAAGGCCATTATATATGCTTAAAAAGTTTTTTGTTATCTTTATATAGTTTTTCCAAAGTAAAGGATTTTGTTTATTAAATAGAAAATCTTTTAATGCTTTTATACTATAGAGCAATTTTTGGTTTCTTGATAGGCCTATATTCTGGAAGAATTGCTGTTCATTTTCAATACCTATAAATAGACCAGAGACTTTTTCATTCATATCCCCATTCATTTTCAAATGATGAATACCAAACTGATTAAAAGGATCTAAATATTTCAACCAGTTTTCTCCATAAGTATTTAATAAACTATCTAAAAACATTTGAATTTCTATTGGTGGAAATTTTATTGGCCATTCCAAAAGTATTTTCGTATTTGCCATAAATGAGAAAATATCTTCACTAATCCTAATTGTATTTCTATACAAATTGGTTGGAAGCAGATAAAAGGATAATGCACTTTCATAGTTTTCTATATGTTTCTTAGATAATCCAATATACATAGCCATTCTATTATTGAAATTGCCTATATCTTGTGAATGGAAAATGTTGCAACTGTTTAATTTAAAATCTGTTGGTGATGAGAAAATTTTCTAAAAAAATAAAATTTCTTCTGATGATAAAAATTTTTCAAACAGAATTTCATTCTCTTTGAATTGAGTAATCATTTTATTAAATATGTCATCATAGGAGCAGATTGGTAGGTTAAATCCACCAATTTTATAAAAGTATTGAAATAGTTTATAGGCTTTGTCGAATGACTTTATTACAATGTTAATTTGTTTATTGCATTTGGCTTTTACTAAATTATAAGCCTGAAGAAGTAATTCCTCTCTAAAGTTGTTATTAGGATCAGACATATTGTAATATCTAGCTAGAAGGGAAGAAAATTTTGCCTTCAATTTGAATAAATTTGCATCTATTATAAAAATATGATACCAGCTATTGCATCAACAGCTTCTCTCACATTATCAACCGTTTTCCATTGACGATGTACTGTTCTTGCTTGGCCAATTTATGTGTTTGCAAGTTATAACAATACTGGTTCTACTCGAACCTTTAAACAAATGTTTAAATTAAAACGGTTTTTTCACAATAATAATACTTAAGCAAGTAACAATATGAGAGTTTGATAGCAGAGTAGATAGTTTGTAAAAGCAGGTTGCCAAATTACCAAACTGTCTTCCAATGTTGAGGAGTAGATGGATGGTTCCAGTGGAGGTTGTTTCCAGATGATTTTCCCATGTCCTTGGGTCCAGATGGAAGCTGCATGCCAAATGAGAATAGTGAGGATTTATATACTTTGAGGTTTGCCTCTGACATCCAATCATCACTTTACAGTTGCCGAAATGTGTAGTTCATATTTATGTTTAGTAAGAGGATGTTACAAGGTTGAACATTTAGGAAGGTTAATTGAATTATAACTTGGCCACACCCTAGGCAAGTTAATTAAATTATAACTTGGCCAAACCTTTATTGGTAATTAAAGATGAGCCTTCAAGCTGACTAATCAGACTTATGTTTGGCCAATGTTATAGCATTTTCTTGCGTTGGTTTTAAGATGTACATGTATAAGTTGCATCAAATAATAGAGTTCGAGCATGTAAAATATAACAAAAGTTGTACAACGAAAACGCCTGAAAAATATATCAAATAGACTGGAAGCTCTTATATCGCCCAACCAATTTGGACCATATTTTGAATTCATATATATTATCAATTCATTAAATTTCTTGACAAATTTCGATTTTCTATTCACATTTTCATTGACAATATTTTCACGGAGATAATTCAATATTTCTTTCAACATTTCAACAATTCTATGAAAGTAATCATTTTCAAAATAGAGTCTCCTATGTGTCAATTCCTTCTGAATTGAAAGAGTAAAGTCCACAGAGGAGATTTTCCATTTTAAAATTGAAAGTAATTGTTCACTTAATTCTGAATATGATTTAACATTTAAAATCTTGCAGATAATTTTGGAAAATTTGTCAAAAATTTAAAAAAGTAAATGTTGGATTTGATGAGAAATACTCCATTGCTATTCTATATGCCTTTTCTCTCATAGTATGAGGCATATCATCCTCTATCCAATTTAGAATTTCATGTGCTTTTATTGAGCATAGTTCTGGTGTTACAGCTGAAAATTGAACATTCTTACAAGTAGTAGACTTTGTTAGAGAAATGAGAAGACAGAGAAAAACAATTGTAATGATAAATTTCATTATTTTCTTTCCAATATCAAAATATCAAAACAATGGCTACCTCTATAGGCTTATGTAAAAACTGTATTATTATAACCAATATTAAAACTAATAGTGCATTTAAGTTAATAAGCCAATTATATACAATTGAACATTATCTATTTTTGGGATAAAAAGGAGAAAAAATTTCCCAAATAATTATATATATTATTTAGAAATTAACTTTCTATTATTAATTTAATTTGCAATCTTTAAGATAAAAGTGAATAAAGAGGTTTTGAAAACTGCTCAAAAACTAATTGCAATGGTCAAATGTACTTGTCAGATACATTAGTATGATCTGCAATAATATTGGATATGAAAAATTCAATGTTCGTGCATTTAACTTTAAGATGAAATGTAAAAGGGAGCAGGAAAACTTGTCTCTGGGAAAATTCGTCCCCTGTTAACAAGAGCAAGTTTTATCATTTTTGATACAGTTGATGAAAAATGAGAAAGTTATCAGATTTAACAAACTGCTTTGTTTCTTCATCTTTTTTAATAAAAGAAGGGATGGAGAAAAGTTGAACAAATGGTTCTTTGACAACCTTTAATTTACCATCCAGATACCAAATTAGCGTGAGACAGATACCAAGAAACAGGGACCAATAGCATAAGCTACTGGAAGGAGAGATGATAACTTAGAGATATAGAAGAATAGAGAGACAATGTTTGAGAATGGCAAATGAGGAAGGACAGTTGCTCTGCTACTCTTTGCCCATGTTCATGTTCTGGGTCTACATATAAATCTAAAACAATTTTAACATTAGATATTTGTCACTTTACCAGTTGATTTCCCTAATTCTGAATCGCTTCAAACGATTCTCATTATTTACAATATTTGTTGGTTTTCTATCAGAGCTCTAACCATTTTCTGCCAGTTCCAGAGACAAGACTCCAGACCTTTACCTTTAATATTTCACTCTCTTAGAGTTTGTAATAAGATTGGTTTGCAGATGTTCATAGTCGAGTTTGTGACTCTATTAAACAAATGCTGCCATCTAGCCAATGGAAAAATTATCCCAAGAAATCTTCTGCTTACTTTCTCTATTTTCTATATGCACACATTCCTGGCTGGAGAGTTTACATAATAATAATAGTAATAATAGTGATATTAATAAATGACTCGCTTACATACCATGTGACTTGTTAATTGATTTATGTTCTTTGTTAAAGTCTATAAGTAACTTTAATGTCAACATATTGAAATAGTTTTAAAACAAATTATTGATAATATTTAATACTGTTTACAAAAAATTTAAAAAAAGAAATTTTTATTTATCTAGTTTTAAATTTTCTTTACAAATTTAAATTGGAAATTTTTAATATCGATCTTATCTTTTGACTGCAAAACAATAGATAATAAAAAATTCATTATCTTTTTCTAGACACGTCTTATTTAAAAAAGAAAAGCACTATTATTCACTAAAATTGAAAATGTTCTATTCTAGTTTCAGTCAAATTTGGTGTTTAATACCAGTTTTTTTATTAAAAACAGCAATAGGAACAGCAATAGGTAAGATAAAACAATGTAAAACTAAATAACTTGATATAGGGATAGATATATTCTTTAATTTTGATTTTAAGGTGAAAAATTGCTAAATATTGCTGATCTGTCAATGAATTCTAGTTGTACTGCTGAATCAACAAGACCTTCAACTGATTTATTTACATTCGAATGCGAAAATGCTTTATCTCCACAATGGATTAATATAAATCCTTGGATTTCGAACTGTAGTCCTAGTTGTTATAAAGAAAAATATTCGTTAACATTTAAAAAAGAGTATGATATTTGCGAAATATGCCTATCTCAACCATTTTTTAATGATGAAAATAAGGTAAAACAAGTTGAATTTTGCTTTAATGGCCAACAATCGATGAATGTTAAATTGGATATGGAAAAAAATATTGAATGTTACCTACCCAAACTGAATTATGGAAAAAATGTTCAAACGATGACATTCATCATTGGTCATCGTTATAAAAATAGAAATACAGGCCTAAGTTCAATAGTGATATATGCCTATGATAATGGTATATAAATCTCTAAATGGGTGTCCTTCTATTTCTTAATCACTCTACTCTCTTCTCTTACAGATACATCAGAAAATATGACATCTGCTGACTATTTTACAGATGTTTCTTCAACAGCAAATGGAGCGACTTGTACTGCAAAAAGTCAACTATCTGAAAATTGGAATTGTCGATTGGCTCTAGATTTTCAAAGTTATCTTTTTTTTAAAAATAAGCAAGAATGGGTGGCAGATTGCACAGGAAGTGACTGTATTGGACAATATATAAATATTACATTTGAAAAATATGGCAAACCAACTATATATTGCCTTACAAATAAACAATCATCTAAAATGTATATTATAAAAGTAATGGAAAAATGGACTTCTGGTTTAATAAAATTACAAGATTTAAAACCAAATCAAAAGCAGCAATGTTTTGAGTATAATGAAGAATTTATTGAAACTGGACTATATCTAGAATCAAGAGAGATACAAGCTAATAAAAATATTGGATTTGCACAAGTTCAAGTGTTTGTAAAGGGTTTGTTGTAGTTTGTAAAAATTTTAAAACTTAATTATGTTCAATATCTATTCTATTAGAGTTATTTGCAAGAGACTACACACTAGCAGGCACTTCCACTTATGCTTATAAACTTCCATCCTACATTCATAACAAATTTAAATCATTCAGTTTTCAATTGTTCAAAAGAAACAGTAGCTTTTCAGATGATTGTGGTGACATAATAATTTCATTCTATTCCAATATGGATGTTGTATTTAAAATTTTCATATCAAATTTATTGAAGAGCTATATTGAAATTGTAACTCCTAATTTCATAGTCAAAGCAATGGAAGTCGATAAATTTTTTATTCTTTGTAATGAAACAAATGATTTTTGGATTTCTATGTCTAATGATACGATTCAATTTGGCAAGGGCCTATTGTATAATGTAAATACAATTTTAACTACTCAGTTCAAAGTCAATAGAATTACAGAAGTGTCATGGAAATCTAAAGAATCCAGTTTTAAAAATAGCATCAAAATTAATGACATAGGTATCATTGAAATTTAAATTGAAAAGTGTCTATTTTTTTGTTTATCTCATTATTTCTATTTAAAAAATAGATGGACGAAACGTTTTTATACATAATAGAGAATCGTGTTCAAAAGTACCAAGCCAATATCTAACTGACAGACTGGTTTCTACTTGCGTTGCTCTACCAAATAAATCAACTATAATTGAAACTATTAATTTAAATGGAATACCAATCAATAGGCATTCAATAAAAACTAAACCGGAAATTGTTTTGAAATTTGACAAACATTTATTTAACTTCATCCATGTTCAAGTTGGTTATAAAAACTCTTACAAAGAACATGACGTAATGTTTTGTACATTGAAAATTGCGGCTATTAGCAATAATAATTATCATAGATTTGTTTTTACGTGTGATCAACTGAATAGTACAATTACAAATTTATACTTTATGATCAGTACAACTGCAACACAATTGAGTAGTGTTGAAATTTGTCATGTAAATCCTTAAAAAGAAAAAAAATGCTTTAACGAATTTTAAAATGTTTTGTTTGTGATTCACTAATTCTCAACTATGTCATTGTTGGGATTAGGAAAATGTTGTTCCAATTTTGGGGAATCTTTTCCTCTGTTTAGCATTTGTGACTCTTTAAATATTTCAAAAATATAAAATGTGACTGTAATTTTCAATCTAAGTGTGAATATCTTTCAAACATTGTCACGTGATGTGCTTTGCCAATTTATGTATTTGGAAGTTAAAACAGTACTGGTTCTACTCGAATCTTTTAAACAATTGTTTTAATTAAATGTTTTATTTGAAATGGAAATACTTGAGAAAATAACAATGTGAAAGTTCAATAGCAGTGTAGATGATTTGTAATAGCAGATTGCCAAAGACTGTCTCCAGAGGAGTTTGTTCCCAGGTGCTTGGATCCAGATACAATTGAATAGAATGAAAATAGCAAGGATTTATATACTTTGAGGTTTGCCTATGATATTCAGTCATACACTGCTAACACAAATGTTGGCAAAATATCAAAGTATTTTTGATGATCTTTTCCCCTCAGATTCAGATTGTCCTTCCCTATACTTTACCAAAAGATATTCAGATCAATCTGAAGTAGATTGTAGGTAATCCAGTTTTTTTCTTCTGACTATTTGCAAGTAATCTTTTCAAAGAGATTTCTATAGAATTTTTTGGTTTGAAGCCTAATTGAACATTTTGTATAGCTATGAACAAGGGGATTTATTGTTGAATTTGAGACAGTAATTGCTGTAAATAAATCAACAAATAATCTATACTCTGCATCCGACAAAGAAAATATTTTTTTCCTGATACGATAAGTTGAAAGAGCAATTATGGATGGTACAGTCATAATAATGGTATTGTAGATTAATAAAATGGTTAAGGCTTTAATATTACTTCCTTCTGATCTTGAATTGTCAACATTTGATAAATCAGAAATTGCTCTTCTGTGTTTGTATATTGCTCTAAGAATTGGAAAATATAATAGTAAACTGGTAATAGCATTTTCAAGCATAATTAATGTTAATGTAAAAGATGATATAATAATTATCATGAAAACAGCTTGAATCAGAATGATACAGCTCTAAAAAGTCATTTCTACTCTATTGACAGAATAAAAGAATAGTAGGCTTATTGAATAAAGAATGTCAGTGATTATCAAAGCTGTTACTCCAAAATTTTGTAATTTCCATAAATCTTTATTAATTAAACGAATTAAAATTAAATTAAAATTTAGACAAAATCCAACAACTTGATTTAAACAGGAAATAACAAGTAAAAAGTTTTTAACATAATCCATCAATCAATACGTTTTGAAAGAAACAGTCTCGCAGTAAATTCAAATTCAATATTTATAGAGTAAAAGGTTTAAGTAAATTATTAAGGATAATGTTCTACAAATTTATAAACTTTTTACAAACTGCTTATCTCTTCATCAATTATTTATAGATTAATATAAGAAAATGCTGTATAATTTGCTTTGTTAATAAGAGATCAGTTTTGTAAATTAACAATTTACTCTTGTGCTCTGCATCACTTCCCTGGTGATCTTCTATCTCTACACCAGCCAAGAAATTTTTTCCTACTACATACAGTAAGGTAAACAAATATAAATGGAAGAAATTTGGTCATATCATTTTCAGAGTAAATTCTTACTTGTTGTCTAATGTGATCCTTAAAAGTTTATAGTTCAGTTCTCTAACTGTCAACTGATTATTTAAAATTACATTTTATTATGACTATTTGTGGACAAACTTGAAAGCTTCTATTTGATTGAGTACTTTGGTAAATTTTTAAATGATTAGAAAGGGTTGTTGTAACTACACCTTAAGACCTAATGTATCTGATGACATAACTAAGAGAAAATGTTTAATATTGTTATTAAAATGTATTAGATTCATGTAGATTTATGTACAAAAGTTAATCAATTTTCTTCCTCTACAGTAACTGGAGATGGTGAAAAATTTGTAATAGGGTTCATTTTTTTCAAATTCATTATCTTTTGAACAAATCTGCCATAAAAAAAATATCATGCAACTCCATAGAATCCTTAATTGCAGCAAATTTCCTCCAATAAACATAGAATTTTTTCTGTCTTTCCTAAAAATAAAATAAATTATACTTTGCATTTTAAATAATGAAATTTTATCTGATTAGTCACGTGATATATAATATTTTCAAATGTCAATTGGCCCATAAAGGATATTTTTTGAGAATGTAAAGAGCAATAAGCTATGCAAATCTGTTTAATGCATTTGAAATAATTGAAACTATCCAATATATAATTTTCTACTGGCAAACATAATGTAGAATTATAGAATTGTAAGAAGGACACGTGATTCTCATCATACTTGTTTATACAGGAAATAACTGCTTAAGTCAATTTTGAAATTAAATAAACAAACACCAGATGGCGTTGGAAACAGTTTGAAAAACAAAATACTTGCATTTTACTTTTAGGTTATATTCAATATTTTCTCTATTTTTTCTGCCTCTATTGAGCAATATATCCATTTGAATTGTGTAATACTCATATAGAGTTGATAATGAGAATATGAATGGCTTATTAACTGAATTTATAGGGATTAAGAATACTATAAGCCGGATCCTAATGTCGTTGTTTATTGTCAATTCTCTTATTGATGATAGAATGACTGAAATTATAAATAAAAATTTTTTTACCAGTTTTCATGATGTGTAGTTATTTTTCTTTTAGAATGTTTTACCTAAAGTTGACAATGGAAACCAACACAAAATATTAGTTGGGATTGTTACCAGAAAGGACTTTTTGATTTGATTCTTTTTTCTATTATATTTGAACAGTGATACGATAATTTTCTGGAAGTTGTGTATTATTGAAATGAATTTGAATTACAGTTTTTAAATAGACACCAAAATCCAATACAACATCTTTTAAAGAACATTCCACCATTTTCAATATCTTCAACAAGGCCTGGCAATAGCGAAATTATTTTGTCTTCAATGATGTGATTTTCGTATGAGATATGTCTAAATACAATAGTAAAGGAGTGTCAAGGTTAGTCAATGATGTCATACTGGAAATTGGATTATGAAAAATTCTTGCCATTTTGCTGTATTTTTAAAACCGTACACTCTAGGCCTATATTTTTTATCATTAATAGAAAGTGAGTTGATTAATGTGTTGAAAAAACAGATGAACACAGTTGGGACAAGAACGAAATTCCTATGATCGTAATACAACAAAGTACAATTTGCAATCTTGTAAGTGTTATGTTGCAATTGTTCACTCTGATCCACATCATTAAAAATCTATGTAATTCTTTTCTTGCCTGCATTGTCAAAGAAGCCAGAGATGTTTAATATTCTTCCATTTGATATAGGCTGAATTTGATAAACTGAATTCTAAAGACAGCAAAGGTTGAATGTTTTTGTAAGAATGCTCAACAACAGATATATTTCTGCAAAACATACCAGAATCAACCCTTTTTATAAACAAAGGGTAAGATATTACATAACCAAACATTTTGACAACAATAACAAGTGTTTATGTACATAAATATGATGTAACAATTGACTCTTAAGGGTTTAACTACACAAAATTGTTGTGGTTTACATGATATTGTAATATGATAACACTTGATCCTGTTAGTTGTTAATAATCCATATCTAGGGTTTGACCTTGTTGTTGATACCAAGGCGTAAACAACTGATAAGGAATTGTATAAAATGCAGGACATAGGTAGTAAGAGGCATTTATTCCTGAATGAACCATCTTAGTGAACAGGACTAGTATTACTTTAGAATACAGTTCTATTATTCTTACAATTTGGTAATATCTTTTATTTTAGTTTTATTCACTGGAATTCCCATCTTTAATCTCTTCTTCCAGTCAAAAATTCTCTGTTATCTGATACAATGTAGTTATAACAGAAATAAGTGTGATATAGCTCAGTAAGTGATTGTTAATGCTATCATGAAGTTATTGTGACTTTCTCTTGATTGGATATTGATTAAGCTTGATTAATGTTTTGTTAACACAACAAAGGCTGAAATTGTAATTGAAGGAATTTTTTAAAAGTCTTTGGTATTTGGTATATTTTAAAGCAAGAAAATTGTAAAATTAAAGGCCAACTTCTGACACATTGCTCAAAAAATGAAACAATAAATATTGGAGGTTATAAAAAACATGAGAAATAGACTAGTGAAGACATTTATTTTAGAGGTCATAGAATTGGGTTTAGGGAAAAATAGAATGAAAAGGCAAATATTTTGCATTGCAGAATTTTTGAATGACAGTTCTATTACAGTTTCACTAATATTTTTAGATAAATCAAATTATTTTAATAGACTCTCCCACTGGCTTTTTTTTGCATTACTGAGAAATAATGGTGTGCCAAACTTATGATAATTTTCAGATAGGCTTTTAATCAGTCGGCATGAACTATAGTAAATGATAAATCCAAGACACCAACTCTTTCTATTACACTCACTAGGACACTTTGAAAAATCTTTTCCATCATGTTTAACAATATCCGTATTGAACTTTATACTATAATAGTCCACTCTGGTATAGCCATTTATTGGCATAACTAGTTGGAGAAATGAATAAATTAGAATGGAAAATAAAGAAGAATAATAGGGAGAATGTAATACCAACGCTTGAAATCTTTCTGAAAGAATGCATTATTTGGTGTAGCTGTAAATTGAGTTGTACTCTTTATTTTATTCTTTATCCAGCATATCTTTCTCTCATAATTGATTGAAAAAGCCAGACATTGCTTGTTCTCATTACAAAACTTTGAACATTTCTCAACTGTAGCATCATTTATAATATTCATATCACTTCCAGCAGAGCAAGATTGATCAAGAACATGATAATAAGGTTGCATTTCTGTTGACACTAAATCCAAAAAGATCTTGTCCTTCAACTAAAAATAGACAATGACCAATTAATTTTTAGCTACACAGACAGACAGACCAACACAAGATATGAATCTTGCCCTCTCTTTACCTGATATAAAACAGTATGCAAAGCTTATTAAAAAGAAAATCTGTTTAGTCAACTTCATGATGAACAGCCATTTATTTCACAAAGTATAATTTTCTTAAATATCAACTCACTTTTATACTAACCCTTTTCATTGTTTACTGCAGAAGTCACTTTTTGAACAATAGCAATAAACTACAAAACTACAAAGAGCTGTTTAGTACTTTCACCTTTTAATTATGAGCACCTGATGTTGTTTGAACTAACATTTGAATGATGATTGAC